AAAATTGTCCCAAAAAAAATATAAAAAAACTGGTGGAAAAAATTACATATATAACTTTGAGCATAGTTTTTATTGGTAAAACACATGTTGAAAAAATAATAATAAAATGATGTATTATACAACGATAAAATTATAAAACAAAAGAATTACTAAAAGATGAATTTTTTTTTGTCTAACTAGATAATCCAGATTTTTTACTTTCTCATTAATTTTTTACTAAATTTTAAACAGATTTAAAACATATAACATTATTGCGATTTATCAAATATTGTTGATCCCGCATTTAAAAAAAATGATCTCTATGCAACAACTTTTTTATAAGTGGAAATCACTAGTCCATTACTACTGATTGACATCTATATATTGATTTGATTAATATGTAAACGGAAAGTATTAATGGACTGCAAGCCATCTAGGAGAAACACTCAAGTTTAATTTGTATGCATCAAATTCGATTCATAGGCTTTCTTTACTATATGAAATGGTATATAGGAAAATTCGTATTTTTTATAATCTAAAAGATTGGTAAAATTACCATTCAAAAAACATTACTTGATTAAACAGCTTCGTCTACTACCAATCAAGATTAAATCCAAGAATAACTAAATATATTTTCGTCAAGTTTAGGTTACCTAGTTATTTAAGCTTATAATATAGCAGTTTAACTTCCCTTACCTTCAATTATGCGATTAAGTTTTCAAATCTGTTTTTTAGCAAAAAAAAGTTTTCAAAACTGTTTTTAGTAGAACTGTTCCATATAGTTTTTTTTTTTAATAAAGAACTGTTCTATATAGATTTGAGTTTGATTAAAGAAAGAAAAAATAATTAGGGTTACTCTGTCTTCATATATGCATCAAAATGTACTAGTACTACTCGGGTCACTTGGGACATGTACATATTGACTAAGACGAAGACCCAGTTTTAGATTTCTTTTTATTATTGTTTGACATTGCAAGTAATCAAATAAAACCTTATAAAACAAAGTATATTCCTAACATAATTGGAAATCAAATTGTTGTTAATCTAATATTCTAGACAAAGAGGCCTTATTTATCTGTAAGATTATATTTTAAAAATTAAAAGATTCTATATTACCCGAAGCAAGAAGTATTGACTTTACTGGAAAAGAAAGACGAAACCCAATTCAAACAATCTTTTTTGTGACGCATTCAAACAAACATACTAATACTAGTCATTATCATCATAAAAAAAATCAACAAAAAATTGTATATTTCGATATATACCAAGTGTTAAACATATATTCTGTCCGTTTCACAAAGATAAATTTTTTCCAAAAAAAAACTGTTCCATAAAAATAATTTTTTTTACTGTTTTCAATACATTTTTATCATTAAATGCTAAGAG